TTTATGCATTTTGAGACCTTTTTAAGGCGATGTTTTGTTAGAAAGCTACAATTTGGTTCAAAACTAATATCAGATTCGGAATCAGCGTTAAAAACTGAGTCGATTTAGATATGTCGTGAGAAAAATATTCTCGTTGAAAAAATCGCTGTACTCCCCCTCAGGGATGGTCTGGTCAATAATGACAATTTTTTCGATAACTCAGCCATTTCTTGACGGATCTTTCTCATCTTCGAACTCGACCGAGATATTGATGAGACAATTCTGTGTACAAAATTTCAGCTCAATTGAATGTAATTGTGAAGAGTTATCGTGTAAACGGACGGCCGGACACACTGACCGATTCTAGAGTGTACTTACTTTTTGAGTACACAAAAAATTCATATCTCTAATGGCAAATGTACTGTAGAAGAAAAACAAAATTTTTTTCAATAATATAATTCGAGGAAAATTTATCGATACTGAACAATTTTTTCAAGTAGTATGATCGTTAAAATAAATACAGAAAAAAATGATTCCATAACTTTCAAAGGTAAAAGTAATCAAAGATATACAAATACAAATACTATTTGTACTCTTCTGATTTCATATACTTCTATTCATCACACTTGTTTGGTGTAAGTATACTTTCATAGAAGAGCTGCACTATAATCCAGGACGAACAATTTCGTTCCTATCCATCATAGATGAGAGTGTAATTTTTGAGTTTTCAGGATAAGGAAAGAAGGTTATATTCTTTCCCGAGTATAAATTCTACTTGTATTTATGTAGCTCTTAAAATAATACGGTTGGGAAACTATAATACATTTATTCAAAATATATGAGTCGAGAATTTTGATCGTAGAGTATTTGAATAATGCTACAGATCAAAATCTTTATAATTTTATCAAGTACAATATTAGGGTCGAAAAAAAACGAACTTTCGACTTAAAAATGTATTGTACCCAAGGAGAGAAAAATAACCTGTATGATTCAATGTTTTGTCTCGTTGTATTCTCATCAAGGTATATAAAAATATATTCAATATTTTTTTGTTTTTTGAGACAAAATTTGTTTTGAAAAGCCGACAATGTAAATTTTTTTCCTCCATAAACATCGATGAACTCTATCCAATGAAATCAAAACACAAATTTTGTTTTAATAATTACTATATCACAATATTAATAAATAAGGTCATTGTTAATTACCTATAATTTAATTGAATAGGTTAAAAAAAAACATCTATATGTCAGACGCAGAACGAAAAGAAAAAAAAATCGCTAGTTATATCATGTAATTATTATTGTATAGTGGTAAACATATAACTATAAAATGTCAGTGTATGCTTAATATGCAGTTAGTCTATAGAAAATTTTGCTTTTGTAACTTACTGCAGAAGTAAAATTTATCATATTAATAGTCTATTTCTAGTAATAAATATATATGTCTTTATGATCTATTTGAGAAGATTTTTACATGTTTAATTTTATTATTCTTTGATTGAACATCGATTGAAATCATTTTTTTTATCAATCAAGTATGTCAATTTTTGTAATTTTTGAAAAATCAATATTCACAGATTAAAAGCTATTATTCTATGAAGCAAATAATAACTTTTGATTGGTTAAAATTGATTTGAAAACATTCGAAAAATCAGATAAATTTACTTTTGTGATTTAAAAAAAAAAAGATTTTTAATCAATTAAGAATAAACTTTCAAGTGATTTCTTATAGATAAATAAAGTAGTCACTGAATATAATTTATTTCTTATGCCAAACATTAGACAATATATTTGTCGATTTTTCGAAATCATTTAATCTGATATAATCTCTTATATCTGTACGTTACATAGGTCTTAAGCAGAAGTTGCTTTTATTTTTTTGGCTTAGACTATGTTAGTTTACTATTGTCTGTATTACGAGAAACAGATTATATCTAGTTATTGTGCATATTCAATCACTTTGAATATTTATTCATTATCAATAAGAATTAAAGATCGATAAATATATTTTTTATTATGAACTATTTTCTTGTAGATATTTATGGGCTCTGGAAACAGTACATCAATTGGAACAAATCTTTCACTTCAATTTTCTGAAAAAACCAAAAAATTTTATCGAACGGATGAAATCGTTTCTGGCACGATTGAATGGTCCAATGATGGTGATTCTGATGTGACATTAAAGAGTATCACTGTCGAATTAGTCGGTGAACTTGTGTACCGTATTGATAAAAGATCAAATAAACAGAGATCGTCAGCTACTCATCGTATGACATTCTTTACCAAAATATTAAATTTATGTTCGACTGATAATGAAAATAAAATTATTCTAACACCAGGCAATTATAGTTGGTCATTTTCCTTTGATCTTGATAATTCACTTCCACCTACTATGAAACAAATTCATTATCAAGGTCCCTATATTCATTACTTTCTTTGTGCTCGATTAGAACAATCCGATTTATTGAAGAAAAATATTACAGAACGATATCCTATTATATTTCAACAGTCGTCAACATCATTACGTTTGACTCACCTTGAAGTTCAAGATGAAAATCGAAATGGCGTTCATATGCATGTATTTTGTCATAAGAATGTTGCTGTTGCTGGTGAACGACTCTCCTTACAACTCAACTTAGAAAATCCAAATCAAAAAATAATTCATCGAATATCGGCAAAATTAATTCAGGAACGAATATTAGGTTCTACAAAAGAGAAAAATGTAATTCCATTGGCAAAGAATCTCATAAATGTATATAATTTTCAGGAAGAATATTTATATGATGACATCAAACTTCTTCTACCTAAAAATACTGTAGCATCGTTTTCATGGAGAGGAAAATCAAAGCCTTCTCAACACTTATTAAGCATGCGTTACTGGCTTCGTCTTGAAGCTCACATGTATGATAAATTCAATAATATTTGCCTACAAGTTCCTTTAACTATCATCAATACAATATCAACAAATGAAGATGAAATAATACCACTACCTACCTATGAAAGTCTTTTTCCTGTATGATATTTTTCTTTCTCATTCGATTCAAAGATTGCGTTTTTTTTTCTCGTGATTTCTTTTTTAATAAACGATAGTCAATTTGTTCGAGAGTACTTTCTTACTCTTCTAACACTTTCCTTTTTTTTCCTTTCAATGCTACTGAAATAAGTGTTAAAGAACCAGTAATCTTGCACTTTCTCATATGATGCCATTCAAAAAAATCAATGTGTTTGTTGTCGAGAAAATGATATAAACAGCAACTGGGACTATCGAAAAATAAACAAATTAGTAGAATTATCCTATTTATTACTTTAGAATTTCAAACCTTTTATTTATACCTTTAATTTTCTTTTCTACGATAAAAATCAATAACAAGACAAAAAAAAAAGTCATTTTCATTGGTTCAGCTATGATTTGAAATATTCAATATAATGTTGATTTAGTATTTTAGAAAAAGCTCATGAAATAATCATTCAAAACAATAAGATTCAGTTGCTGAACGTTTTTCTTTTTGAACACTTCCGATCAATTTTTTGTGTTAAATTTGACCGCCTTGAATCGCTCTACCAGTAGTGATTGCCGGATTCCACTAAATACAATCAAACGATGACAAAATTGGTTGGAATTGGTAGTGCTTAGTATCACAAAAATAGCATCTTTGAAGCCAAGTTTCTGAAATTGGTGCATCCCTAATAATGTGTTCTAACACTTCTGTCAGCCAATAGATTACATAAAAAATATCTGTTTGTCAAAAAATATGTTTTTTCAATCAGTTATTTTATAAAATTTTTTCCTTACAAAATCATTACGAAATTCATTATAAAAATTATATCAATCGAAAGAATTCTATATAATATTTTTTGCTCTATTTTATATGCTTTGTTTTACCATTCTTGCTTGTGTTATGTAGTTCATTTTCAAGAGCTTAAAGTATACTTTATATAGATTTGTAAAGCGTCAAAAGATGAATCTTTTGCGAAGAAAAAGCTAATTATAAAGGGCTATCATTTAAGTGATCAGTAGAATAAATGAAGTGATCAGTACGTAAAATAAATGTAAAATCAGTAAAATAATTGAATGATCAGTAAATTATTTACATGGTCAGTTATTAAGATACTTTGGTTTGTTAATATATTTAAAAATCAGTAAATTAAATTAAAGGATCAGTATAAAAATCGAAATGTGTTATAAGGTGATTCACTTTCTTTTCTTCTTTGTTCTTTTCGTCTATATGTTGTACAGCTGACAAGTACGACATATATAAATGTACTCTTAGCTTCTTTCTTTCACATTCAGCTTACGAGGGAAAGTCCTCAAATGTGAGTCTCCATTTTGCATCGGGTATTTGCCATTTTGTAGAGCTCAGTGAGTACAGTAACTACGTATAAAGGATTCGTCCCATCGGTGAACTTTTCAGGTACAACGAGGTTCCATACCTTCTGAAAAATTATCATCAGACTCTTAACTGAAGGTCTGAATTTTAATATTGTAAGGACAAAACATAGTGTTGTTCGGGCCAATTTGAGGTTATCAAGGATGCTCTTTCATATGACCCGAGTAACACCGTGTTTTGTCCTTATATTAGTAAAGTGAATTTTTTTGGTGTTTGATAGAAAACGCTGTTTTCTATGAGCTATAGAAAAAATAAACTCTACTATTATAAGGATGGAACACATTATTATTCGGGTCATATGAAAGAGCATCCTTGATAACCCCAGATTGGTCCCAATAACAATGTGTTCCATCCTTATAATAGTAGAGTTCATTTTTTCTATAGCTCATAGAAAACAGCGTTTTCTATCAAACACCAGAAAAATTCACTTTACTAATATAAGGACATAACATGGTATTGTTCGAGCCATATGAAAGAGCATCCTTGATAACCTCAGATTGGCCCGAACAACACTATGTTTTGTCCTTACAATATTAAAATTCAGACCTTCAGTTAAGAGTCTGATGATAATTTTTCAGAAGGTATGGAACCTCGTTGTACCTGAAATGTTCACCGATGGAACGAATCCTTTATACGTAGTTACTGTACTCACTGAGCTCTACAAAATAGCAAATACCCGATTCGAAACGGAGACTCACACTTGGGGACCTTCCCTCGTTAGTGTCAACGAGTAAAAAGGGTGTGTGAAAGAATAACCCTCATGCGCACACCCATCCACACCCACTCACACCCACACCCACACCAACCCACACTCACACCCACACCCACACCCTTAATTAGATAGAGACTCTGTTCTAATGATCTAGAGGTCATAAACAAGACTTCTACACCTAATTGAGCTGTATATTTTCGAAAGAAACGAGAGTGTGGTGTAACCCCCCCCCCCCCCCGCCCGCGCACCGACGAGGGACGTGGGCGGAGCTATAT